TTTTATGTGAAGTAAACCAGCCCTTTTGGCGTTTCTGCTGGGGCCGTATGCTGAATGTTGGGGAGGGGATGGGGTCCCCGACGGTCGACGGACTACTTCAACTCGGTCCTTAAAACCGCCTCAATTTGATGCTTACCTCAGGACTAAGCCTTAAAGAGAGGACGGACCTGCGAGGTAGCGCAGGTCTGTCCCTCTCTCCAAGGCTTAGTCCTGGGGTAAGCAAAGCGCTCTTTTGGCGGAGCTGCTGGACCAGCTGCACCACTTGCGTTATTACTCTCCTAAAGTACCGACCGAGTTGAAGTAGTCCGTCGACCGTCGGGAACGCCTTCCCCTCCCCAAATTCAGCATACCCGCTCCTGCAGGAAACGCCAAAAGTGCTGGTTTGCTTACCTCCTTCCACACGAGAACAAGAGGCGATGGCATGGTGCTCCCAAACAAAACTGACAAGTACTTAACGCTTTCTAATTCCACATATCAGAAAAAGAGGCGTAACGTGCGAACAGTCGCAGACTATTGGCAATGAACGCGTTTAAGCTACCACTGTGATCGAGTATTGCTGGGATGTTCATTACCGTCTGGTACGCTTTCAAACACTATTGCGAATCTGGATGAAAGTCGAATGTGTGGCGCATTAAGACGCTGCTCCAACCAACGTCGGACGTTTCAAAACCGGAAGTTAGACAGGTTTTGAGTATGGATTATATAGAAAGTCAGCTACTTATGAAGTTCAAATGGGACTGATTGTGAGATGTGAAAGAAACAAATGTGAAGCGAGTCCGACATTCCAAGGGAATCAACATGTGAAGAAAGGTTTGGAACTTCCGAATCATAAGTGAAAGGATATATTGGTTCCATATTCGATTGAAAAAAGCTCGTCACGAGCTTTAGATGGAGAACAAAGAAAATGCATCCGTACCTCAAATCCCAGAGCTAAGGAAGCGTTGTAGATGCGATCTCCGTCGATGTGTGAACGAATTAGACCATATTTTGAAGCCAGTTCTCGAACCGATCTGAAATAAGAAAATTTAGATTTAAGCTAAAGTAAGCTGGAGGAAACCATCAGCGGTAAATGTGCGGATTACGTGATATATTCCATGGGCAGAGCTCGCCCTCCCGAATAGTTGTGGGTGGTTTCGAGGCAAATCAGACGCGTGTTTGGCATGTGGACATCGCGCACTCGAATCGCCTTCTCGATGTCCTCAATTTTCATCTTACCTTCGGGATCGACGTCAATCGTTGTAACGCTGACACCTACAACCAGGAAAATTCAAAGCGATGAAGTGAGCCTTGGTTGAGCTTCCGCTCAAAAACGGAGATTTCAGGTTACAATAACGAGCAGGCGAGACCTTGTAATACAGGGGGGGGCCAAAAAAAAAGACATTTTGCCTATGTCGGACTTCGGCTCTTTTTTCTTCGCAGAGATTGCTGTCGTTGACGGGAGTTCCTCAGCAGAGTATTCCCTAAGTGTTCCTCTATTAGTGTACGCAGGCTCTCCTTCACTGCCCTCACCGTCTTCAGAATATGACGTCATCTGTCACCGTCGTCAGGCTCAAGGAGGTCTACCGTAAGAGCTTCAGCCTGAAGCTCTTACGCAATTTCGTGAATCGATTTAATGTTGGATAGTTTTCTAGAGGCATTAGCTACCACTGTGCAAATCCCCTCGAAACTAGCTTTCCAGTAAGGGTCGTTATGGTACACGATCCTTCGAAGACCCCATTGAGATCGACCAGTGCACCATGTTTCCAGGGCTAATTCTTCTGATGCCGTCCACGTACGTGGCCACTATGAAGATTTTCTTATAGAATGGAATGCACTCTTTAATAATAAGTTGGAACCGTTCGGTCTGAGTTGAGTAAAATGTGCTTAAATCCATCTGGAAGTGGAGGCAAAATGTCTTTTTTTTTGGCCCCCCTGTATATTGAAAGTAACATTATGGAATGAAATTTTGCGCATTTTTTGCAAGAGGCTCTACTAAATACATAAAGAGACTCTGCCAGAGCTCGCATTGGCTTTAAATGGATGGAGGATAAAGGATAAAGGATAAAGCATTCGGGGTTAACCATAAACCTTATTGGGACGTGCCGCATTCTGCTTCTATTCAAATAGTGTCATTTAATGCGATTTTTCCTACACTATATGGGGGGGGGCAGCTGTATGCAAGTCAGTTCTCCTTTTCTCTAAGCCTGGTACCAATTGTTTGACCCGGAGGGATGGAGGGCTTGTTGGCCCGTACGACGCACGACTCAGGACTTTGATCCCCGGACCGCGCGCGTGGTTAACAGCGCCACTTGCCACTACATCGCTTCCGCCCATCGTGAGGGAATATTAACAATAATCAGCCATTTTCACCTACAGTCTAGAAGCTTTTTACTGCTACGATAAGGTGACCGGCGAGGTAGGCTACTGTTACTTTTACGAATAGGACGCCACGCAACCACGGTGAGTATTGAACATGGTACCACCCGCAGCGGATGTTGAGCGACGCCAGTTGCAACTCCGCTTTGCTTCGTGGTCAGCCTCTTGACCAAGGCCCAAGCATACGGAAGTGTTAGTAGAGCCGTAAGACATATGTAGTAGTGCTGTGTGGCCTTATTTTTTACCCCTCTCCTGGCGGAATCCCAGGTTTTCGCGACCTGACTCGCTAATAAAAATGGACAACTTTCCAAAACCCTGCTATAATGTGGTGGAGTAACTATGTGTGACGTAGTGGTAGTAGGCCGCCGTCTCAGTGGATGTGGAGTGATGATGTTTGATAAGATATGACTGCCTTTCAGAAACTCCTCTTGGACTAGATATGAGTGCCCCCACACCCCGAACTATTACATTTTCACCCCTAAGATTTGATCTCCAAACTGCGCGCGTGGTTAGCAGCGCCACTTGCCACTACATCATTTCCGCCCATCGTCCATCCCATCTAGGAATAGTACCATTTTCGTCTGCAATCTATAGCTTTTCCACTACTCCGACAAGATGGCCGACAAGGTCTGCAGTAGGACGCCGTGCGACCGTGCACCAGGGGGGGGAGGTATTGGGATTGGCACTATCCGCACCAGCTTCGTTTTTACCGTTCATCTGGCG